CAATTTCTAAAACTATGATAATAACTATTTTATTTTATGTTAATTCTTTTGACACGTGACTCAAATTTTATCCTAGACTGACTTTCAAGTTGACTATAAAAACTATGATAATAATTATTTTTATTTTTATGTTAATATGATTCAATGATTAACCCTACTAATAACCTAGGCTTTACTTCAAGTTGACTCCCGAGTCATGTTTTTCAATTATAATAATAACTATTTTTATTTTTATATTAACTTGAATCATTTCAACATGTGATTCTATCCTCAAGTGGTAACTTGGGTTTTGTTCTAGATTAATCCTCGAGTTGAATTTTAACATTATAATAATAACAGTTATATCCTAACATTTATTAACAAAATAATTTTGAAATTAATATTTTTATAAAATTATTTTACAAATAAAAAAATATTATTTTAATAAATTTATCATTTAGCCTTTTTATATTTTGAAAAGTAAAAACAAATTACCTTTAAAATTATTCTAAAAGCAAATATATTTTTATATTCTTATTTCTGTCCTTTTCAATTAAATATATTGTTCTCTCTACTGTTACTCGTAGGGGTGTTCATTTTCAGTTCAGTTCAGTTTTTATCAAAAATAGTAACCAAACCGGGAAAAAAAAACCCGAAACTAAACCGAATCCGGGTCAAACTGACAGGTTTCGGTTCGGTTCGGTTTGGTTTTTTAAGGGAAAAACCAGTTCAAATCGGTTTGGCTCGGTTTTTCTCGGTTTTGGCTCGATTTTCTCGGTTTTGGCTCGGTTTTTTTCCGGTTTCGGTTCGGTTCGGTTCGGTTTTTCGGTTTTTTGGTTATAAAATCGAAACCGAACCGAACCGACTGGTTTTTTCAAAATTTTAATCGGTTTAATCAATTTTTTTTTGTTTGGTTTTTCCAATTTTTTTTAATCAATTTTTTTTTGTTTGGTTTTTTCAATTTTTTTTTAAATTTTCTCGATTTAATCAGTTTTTCAATTTTTTTAAACAACCCTGGTTACTCGTGATTGTAACCGAAGGCTACAGAGGGTCAAAATCAAATAATGCAATTGCTTTATAGCCATTAACCAATATCAAAACGAAAAGCCAGATTTCAATACAGAAACCTCGCAAGTACACAAGAAACAACAATGGAGTCCCCGAGTTACCAAATACCTCTTCGTGATACACCAACTCAAGCACCCAGATCAAGATTTCCATCAAATATAGTCCACAAAGTGAGAGACAACCTTGTCTTTCGATCCAAATGGGCAGAACTTAATGGTGCCATGGGGGATCTAGGTACGTACATACCAATAGTACTGGCCTTAACATTATCCGTTCACCTTAATTTAGGGACAACATTAATATTCACTGGCATATACAACATGGTTACTGGGGCAATCTATGGTGTGCCAATGCCAGTCCAGCCAATGAAATCGATAGCTGCTGTGGCTATATCAAATAGTGCAGAATTTGGTGTGCCCGAAATCATGGCAGCAGGAATATGTACTGGTGGGATTTTGTTCCTTTTAGGTGTTACAGGTTTGATGCAGCTTGTTTATAAGTTGATTCCATTGTCTGTTGTTAGGGGAATTCAGCTGTCACAAGGGTTATCATTTGCCATGTCTGCTGTGAAGTATATCAGGAAAGTACAAGATTTTTCTAAGTCAAAGTCTGGTGGTGATAGGCACTGGTTAGGGTTAGATGGTCTGGTTCTGGCTATTGTTTGTGCTTTTTTAATTATTGTTGTTAACGGTGCTGGTGAGGAGGGTAGTGAAAGAGAGGGTGATGACATTAATTTGGGTGGTAGAGAAAGGCCTAGGGATAGGGGGCTGAGGCAAATGGTGGCCTCACTTCCTTCTGCTTTTATGGTTTTCTTGTTGGGTGTGATTTTGGCATTTATAAGAAGGCCTGGAGTGGTGCATGATTTTAAGTTTGGGCCATCTTCTATTCAGGCTGTGAAAATTTCTAAGCGTGCTTGGAAAGAAGGGTTTGCCAAGGGTACAATTCCTCAGCTCCCTCTATCAGTACTAAATTCTGTTATTGCTGTATGCAACTTGTCATCTGATCTGTTTCCAGGAAAGGATTTCTCGGCATCCTCGGTTTCAGTGTCTGTAGGGCTGATGAATTTAGTGGGATGTTGGTTTGGTGCCATGCCATGTTGCCATGGTGCAGGAGGACTGGCTGGGCAGTACAAGTTTGGAGGTAGGAGTGGAGGTTGTGTGGCACTACTTGGAGCAGCCAAATTGGTTTTGGGTTTGGTTTTAGGAAGTTCTTTAGTGATGGTTTTGAACCAATTCCCTGTTGGAGTCTTGGGGGTGTTGCTATTGTTTGCTGGAATTGAGTTGGCTATGGCCTCAAGAGACATGAATACGAAGGAGGAAGCCTTTGTGATGCTTATATGCACTGCGGTTTCAATAACGGGTTCAAGTGCAGCACTTGGCTTTTTGTGTGGGATTGCTGTGCATCTGCTTCTTAAAGTGAGAAACTGGCATAACGACCAGCCATGTTCAACAGTATAGTGTAATGGAATTCCATGGAAATCTCAAGATCCATGAGTGAGTTTTGTGAATAATTAAAAATGTATTAGGTTGTTAGTCCCTCAATTGGTTTGAGATTGTTGTCGATTGGAGTATTAGATCTCCTACCTATGCTTTCGGATATTGCTATGTCAGTATCTTTTATGTTGTGAATTATCAGTAATACCCTTTTACTCTCTTGTATTGCAGTACTTACTGTCTAACTTGAAATAATGTACATAGATGTTATGCATTGGATGTCCGTTGTAAAATAGCCAAATAGTTCACTGAGTCATTCTTGATCACATTTGTTAGATCCTTGCCATCATAGCCAAACTGTGATTGATGCCTGCTGCGCATTTGTCTTCCACCAGATTTTAGGACAAGCACAAGCTGAAAGAAGCTTCTAACTCCTTGTGTTATAGATCTCACACGATTTCACGTTTTTTTCTTCGTTGTATTTCTTAATTACGAACATCTGAAAGGAGCCTGGCCCAGTGGGGTATATAAACCATAACATCAACCTTTAAGATATGACAACATTCACCTGGTGATCAGAAAAGGAACAAAGAGAGAGATCAATAACGATGACTATGGATAAATGCCACGATTCCAGCTATCTAACTTCGTCCTAAATGGTCAGTTACCCATCTCTTCAAGGGGAGGAAGGTAGATTTTTGTCCAGAAAACTTTAAGAGGCTATAACCGAATTACGAACTTTTTATCTATCCAAATGGATTTCCTCCCCTTTAAGGAAGCGAACTTGGGGAGCTGGGGAGCAAGTATCTGCTGTGATTGGTTTTCGAGTCATATTCAGTGATCTAGAGCGGACTCCTCCAAAGCCGAAGTCACCAGATCTTGGGAAATTCTTATACTTTGATCCAAGTATTGAAGCTCACAACAGGCTTTATGAGCTAGTCGGGAAAGGGCTTTACTACTTATCCCATTTCTGAGATTTTTCATATTCTACTTAATAGGACTACACAGTTCATTTGAATGTGGACATATTCTGAAAGAAAAAATGGACTTACTACTTGAAATGTATATACAGAGAAACTCTGACTCAAAAAGGACCCAGCGACATGATAAAGAATATGGCTCAAGGGGTTGAGTGAGATGGTGATTGGATGAAGGTGCTGTTGAGGCTCAAGGCTGAGGGAAATGGTGAAGAGAGGAGATGCAGGGAGTAGGGGGAGCGGCTGTGCAGAGAGGGGCAGAGGGCTGTGTGTAAAAGAGACAAGGGATAGAGGGACTAGGGTTTAATTTCAGGATTTATACTGAGTTTACATATATTATCGGTTTGATTTGGTTCAGTTTTTCCTGAATTGATCCGAAGACAGCAAGGGCGGAAGAATGCGAAGAGCTTCAACAGAAAAACATGTCTTTATATGCTTGTGTTCCTTAGTCATTAGATTGATGTTTTGCTCCTCGACAAACCTCTTCCTCTGCAGCAGAAAAATCTTGGTGATCTTCTGCTTCCACTCTTTCTTTATCTCTCAAGTTAAATCCAGTTTTTTTGCTGGAATTATTATATATTAATGAAAAACAGACAAGGAGCTCTGGGGTTCATGAGATTATAGCAATGCCATGTTGAATGTTAAACACACTTCCTAACTGGCAATGGTGCTTTGAGCCTTCCATCAAAGTTACTTCTCAAATGGACAAAGATTTAAGACTAGAAGAGTCAGCATTACATTTCCACTCAAGTTTCTAAAAGCCTACTACCATTGATCGAATAAAATACGAAGTTCATCTAGGTTACACGACGTCTATTGGACTCCATCAGAACTGGATTTCTGCATTCTGATAAGAAAAAGAAGTTACACTGATTTTGCAGGCCAGGTTGCTTGAGCTGGCAAAAACAATTCTGAGAACCACTCCGAACAACCTGAGTGTACTGTCAAAAATAACGGGAGGCTCACTTGCCTTCAGCACCACCCAATATCTTAGAACAACTAATGACATGTTTCTGGAAATGTACCTTAGTCTAAAATGGTCAGTGAGCCTCCCGTTATTTGGGTATAAATGATAGTAAAGCCTTAATCACATACTAGTCAGGGATCTAATATTCCAATGCAATTTCAATAATTCACAGAACTCCCTCATGGATCTTGAGATTGCCATTGAGTTCCATGAAGCTATAATGTTTAGCAAGGCTGGTCTTTAAGCAAGCTTCTTAGTAGCACGAGCACAGCAATCCCCCATAGAAAGGGGGAATTTTGCTTATTAGCACAACTTCTTTAAAAAATTACCAAATTAACATAATTTGAAATAAAAAAAAAAGGTAAAATAACGTAATTTATATATGTGGCAATAAGAAATCTTGACATTCAAACTTGTTATTTCAAAAATGCAACATTTTAAAAAAATTATAAAATAGATGCATAAGAAGAGGAAAGAAAAGAGAGATTCTGAAAGCATACCAAAAACTTTAATTATAAAATCGTTAATGTTATTGAAAAAAATCTGGACAAAATAGATATAATGACATGGATCAGAAGTGGATTGCAGGAACTACTACGATTTCATGTTTTTCCATGGTTGTATTTCTTAATTAACGAATACCTGAAAGAAGCTCGCTTCAATAGAGTATATAAACCATATCATCAACCTGTAGGAGATGGCAGCATTCACCTGGTGAGCAGAAATGAAACAAGAGATCAGTTAATGATGATGACTAAGATAAATACATGATTCTGGAAATGTACCTTAGTCTAAAATGGTCAGTTCTATGCTCTTTTGTAGCTGTTTATGATCATCCTCTTGGCCGGAGGTGCAGAAGACGATGTCATTCAGCCAGTTTGTTCCCATTTGATCTTCAACAGAAAGGAAGGTAGATTTTTGTCCTGAAAACATTCAAACTTGAACCTTTTCTATCCAAATGGATTTCCTCCCTTTAAACTAAGAGAACTTGAGGAGGTTGGGAGCAAGTATCCACCAGTTGGTTGTTGAGCCATATTCAAAGACCCAAAAGGAACTCCCTCACTGCCAAAGTCGCAAGGCCCATGTGGTCTGAAACAATATTCAATAGAGCATGAATTATTTCTAGTCCATGTAAGAGGATTTATCATCATTTGCAATAGAACTTAATCATGCATGTATGAAGAAAGCAGACAAAGCATTATGCTTGTTATCTATGCATCAGCAAAATACTGTTTTGGATGTCTTTGATGTGGAAAATGCTTATGTGATTGCCATGGCCACCCCATATTTTCAATGAAGAGGGTGCCTTGTAGGATATCTTTTGAATAACATCATCGCGCTTTATAAAGACCATGAAACTTTGAAACAGTTTATGAATCCTGTTTCTCGCTGACTTTTGACTCTCCCCCTACCAGTCATTTGGGAAGTTAGTTCTTCAAGAGCCAATAAGCAAATGAACCCAAATGACATGGTGAAATCTGAATAATAAAGATGACCAAATGGTGGAAAGAAAGTATTTTGAAAGAAAATGACAAGACTGAGGAGATCAGAGAATGTTACCTGGAATGAGGCAAATTCGTGTCTGCTTGTTGTCCCATGTATCCACCTAAGATATAGCAATCGAATATGAGCACCAGATGGGTGTTAATTATGAGTAATTGAAGATACACAGAAGTGAATTTACCGTAAGGCATGGCTGATGCGAAGGACAGGGAATGTGGAGGCATTGCAGAAGTATGCACTGGGAGATTACCATGCAAATTTTCCATGGAAGGAAACTACATCAAAAGAGTGTATTTTTAGAAATTTTCACAAGAGGCTTATGCTTTCACTACAAATTTGAGCTCAGGAGAAACAAAAAGGCTCTGTGACAGCTCTGAACAAGAACGAAAACATTGCTTGCAGTGGATATGTTTTCTAGCCTTGCAACATACCTTGATGTTGACGATAAAACACATCCAGGTTCATAGAATGGGTACAAATATTATTCTATGCAAATTGCTTGTATATGTTATAAGTATTGGTGAATTCATCATGATCGAACAAGGAGAAGTAATATTAGGATATACAACTTCACTGTTTGACTCACGACATGTGAAATTTAATTGCATTTCCGTTGGCTTCTTGAACCATATTTTTCAATCTGCAAACTTGTTTTAATGCTAGTCACAGAAAAACTCGAGGACCCCATTACTTGGCCATGGTGTGAGTTAGATACACATCGAAAGTGTACAAAGACACATGATATGTCGAAGTCATGGAGATTGGAGAAGAACTCATACAGGCCTATATAACCGCAGTTTGATCTTATAAAGGTATGCAAGATAGCAAGAGCTAGATATAAACATAGCAGAAAAGAGAAAAGGTAGGATAAGAAAGGGCAAGGCATGATAAATATCAGTTTGAGTGTTGTACATACTGGTAGGGGTGGTACCGAAGTGGTGTCGCCGTTAAGATCAAATGGGTTTGTTGATTTTGCCATGTTGGGAAATGCTGGCACAGGCTTTAAGAGAACCCAATAAAGGTCATCAGCATCTATTTGTTCCACTTAGGCAAAATCAAATTCAATAAAATTATGATTTGTTGAATAACATACCATTGCATTAGGATAATACTGCATGTTCAGTCCCATGCCATAAGGTGGACAAATTTGACAACCTGGTATTGGGTCTGAAGCTGGTGAATAAGTTCCAGTAAAAAGGTCCTGCAGAAAATTTAATAGATACCATTAGAAGAATTTGAGAAACAGGAGATACTGACACCATGTAAGGCAAGCCAATCACCGCTGGAAGTTCCTTTCTTCCACTAGACTTTGTTTCTGATGGAAGAGGCTGGGATTGAGCTTCGGAATTGGATTCTTGGGCTGGTTTTGAGACATCTGGAGAAAGGTATTCACCAAGGAAATCTGGAGATCCCTGAGAAATATGAACATTTGATGAAGTCCGCAGCCGAAAATTTGATGAACAGGCAAAAAAGTCAAAAACTAAATATACTTGACACTACCATCCCCACACAGGCATATATGCATGATGTATGTGAGACATAGAAAAATAGGATATTATTTTTAAGAAGAGAACATAACAAACTTAAAACAATAAAACGAATAGAGAAAAAATAAAATATGTCAACTATTTTAATTGCACTCATATTAATTATCAATTATCTGAGCCAAATTTTGGAGTCGTTATTTAATTGAACAACGGATCTGGAATATGATCATCAGAGGTGGCCTATGGGGACGAAGGTGAAGTTACAGTTCACATATTTGAGACACAGAAGTTCATCTGTGGATACTCCAGAACAGTCTTATATCTTTTGAATAGATTTTTTAAAATAAAAATGAAGAAGAAAAGGAAAAAAACGGTGGACTCTGGAATAACATGGCTCTAGATGTTCCTCAAAATCCTAAATTCAAGATCAAGTCCTAAACTAACCTGATCATTTACCGCTCGAGCAGGTGTATTAGTAGCCTGTTGTCCACCAGAGCTACTATCAACAGGCTGTTGTTGCCGCATGGTGGATATCTGTTGCCCGTCAAGAAGCTCGAAAGTTGAGTCACGAATGTTATCAAGTGCAGCTTGTGGAGGAACTCCATTAGAAGGTTGTGCTGGCAAAGAATTATTTGAAGGTATTGTGGATGCATCAAAAGCATCAACTAGTGTTAATATCTCCTCAACATGCACAGCTGGGCTGATCCCAAATGCAGTTGATGTCTGCACCACAGGTGCAGCTGGTGAAATGCTTCCCACAGGCATGGTGCCTCCAGACACAGTTGTAGAAGCACCAGCGCTACAGGGAAGTGCTGACATCTGCTCCACAGGTACAGTTTGTGAAACACTTCCAGCAGGCATGTTCCCTCCAGATGCAATTGCAGAAGCAACAGCACTGCTTTTTAATGTTAACATCTGCCCCGAAGGCCCAGCTGCTGAAGCACCACTACTCATGATTATATTTTCTCCAGATGCAGCTGATGACGGATTATCATTAGTTGGTATTTCAGAAGCATTGTCAGAAGGAATGACTGAGGGAGCTAACTCCATCAGTAAAAATTCCAAAGTATTTTGTTTTGGGGCTGGAAGTGCGTTATTCTTTCCAGAGGAGTCATGTGAGGAGCAGTTGCCACCTTCACTGGACAGAAGATTCTCCGGAGCAGGAAGTGCTGCGGTAGCATCGGAGGACTTGGAATTGGAATTTAAATCAACCGAGCTTTCTGAATTGTGACTTTTCTGTTGCACAGGATTTCCATCAGCAGATTCCATGGGGCCAGAAGAAGGGGGCATCTGCAATGAGGAACGCTATGAATTTCATAGGACTAGAAAGTACATAGTCTGCAAGAACTGACAGTAAATATCCAATTGTGATTTGCTGAAATTACAAAATACAAGTTTGTAAAACTTCAACTTATGCACGAATTTTGATATATAATTGTTTCTAGAGCATGTGGAATTTCATGATCATTTCACCAGCACTACTTGTCTTTGGAAATAAACCTTCAATAGAGAAGGTGAGAAAATCCATACAAGTGAAATGATGACGTCTTAACAACGATTGCAACGCTGCATATTTCATCTCAACAAGTTCTGCCAGTGCAGCTTGCATGTTGTATATGCCACCTTACCTCATTCCTCCCAAGAATTGACCGGAATGGTTTAATAAAGATTTTGGTACATAAGTAAGCATACTCAGCCATTCTATAGTTACCGGATCACTTTAGAAATTACCCCACCTGATTGTGCGCAGAACCATCTGCATCCTTCCTGTTTGGTGCTTTTGAATGCTCACCAACCTGTAGAGGTGGAATATTTCCCCCTAGAATATGTTTGAGAGGGCGTACCACAGGGGCATGGGACCCTGACTGATGCATGTCCTTTTGAATGCCAGATAAATTGTTCCCAAACCTGGACTCTCTGTGAGCAAACGGGTGGGCACCAGACTTCCTGCTACTTCGTATTCCATCATCTCGAAACCTGTCATCAACAACCTCAATGCGAACAGGACGTCTCATAAAACCTCCATATCTTGAATTTTCTTGGGAATAACGAGGACTTCTTCTTTCATCATAATAATATTTAATTGTCTTGTCGTCAGCTCTTCCACTAAAACCAGATCTTTCACTCCGCCCATGTCTATCTTCATAGTTTGGACTTCTAGATCCACCAGAATATAAAACAGCCCACCTGTTCTCACCAGAGTCGTCCTTGTCATTCTGCATAATAGCAACAAGAACTTTAACAAATTACAGTAAATTTAATTGGATCACACTCCAGACTTGCTGCTATTCCCAAGATTCCAGTTCATGCGGTCCAAATTATTCAATTCACTGTTTTTAACATTACATTCCGATAAAGATTGACCAAAATTTTGCAAGACAAGAAATTGTTTATCTGTAATCAGTATCTGTCTTTAGAGAGATTTACCAATCTCAGCCGTGGGAGTTTCTCATGACTTTTCTCACCAGTGTATCTTCTATCCACATAAACATGCTTGATAAAATCTCGAACCTTTTGTTGATTACTAGAAGCAAAAAGTTAAATTATCAGAACAAATTACTAAAAAATTCCCCGCTACTAAAAAAAAAAAAGGAATTCCCATTTCCAAGCATAGTCACACCCATGAATGTGCAATCTTGTGCTTTCCCTCCACAATAAGGATCACACAATCATGTCACTCTTAAACAAGCCTAGCATTTCTCTTAAACATAAGCATATCGCCATAACCACCTGCTATCAGGAAGCTGATTGCGCTGCGGATTCCATTCCTTCAAAAAAATTTGTCTCGCTCTCTATCAAAAACATAGAGAAAAAAATTAGCAAAATTTACTGAGATCGTTGGCTATCAAGTAGTATTCAATTTCATGCACAACCTCATTCCCTCCTGCTTGAAGAGCACTAACTTCTTCCGCGTTAAATTTCGCCGTCGAAATTGATTTAACTCTATGCGTAAATTCCCGGCTAGAAAAATTAATCAAAATTAATTCATATCTCATATTTAAATAACACAAAATTCAATACATTAAACAATTAAGAAAAATATTAAAAAAAAAGCAAAATCAAAATATACTTACTGAATTCCACTACAATTTTTGCAAACAAAGGTGAAGAAAGTTTTGCAGACATATTGTGGTCCCTAAAAAAACAAAAAATAAATTAATTAATTAATAAAAAGACGATTTCAATTAGAGAGGGGGGAAATTACCAAGTTATTGCAATTAACGCAACGACTATTCTCAGGAATTTTAAGAAGACCGCGAATTATCTTCCCAATTCTCTCCTCTTCTTTGTTTTTCTTCATCATTTTCTTTTTCTGATCGTGAAACGGCGCTGGATGATTAAGCAAGAAAGGATGATTGATTGAAACCAAAGCGTCTCAAGAATGTGATAGAATTTGAAGAAGAGAAACCCTAGAAATGGAAATTGGTGATGGGAAAACATAAGAGAAAATTAGTGGAGAGAAATTAGCGGAGGGAAAATAGCCGAGAGAGACGCTTTGGCTCGCTGGTTTTTATGGCCGTTGAGAGGTTTTGCGGATTTAAGTTTAAAATTCGCGGGTTTGGTCTTAATGGGCCAGATAGGGATGGGAATTAGGTCCGATATAGCGAATAACAGTCTTGCCCACAACAAGTATTAAGGCCAGCACGAACACACACAAATAAATTTGGATGGTCTTATTTATGTTTTGAAAATTTGTTTTGGTTTTGAAAATTATATTTTAGACAATTTATTTCAAATTAAAGGTTACTTGCTTATAATTTTTTAGCGAAATTGAAAAAATAAAGACCAAAATAAAAATTAAATTAAACATGGGTAACCTACTAGAAATTTTGGGAAAGATATATTTTGGTCCTCTAACTTTAAAAATAACACAAATTATATGTTTTTTTGTATCTTAAAATAATACAGGGGTTGCTAGATTTAAGTAGTAAAGGGAAAAAAATATTCTTGACACCGATTTAAATCATAAAAACAGTTGATGTTTAGGTCCAATTGTTTTATTTGATGAGAAAAATTCATATTAGATGTATTTTACATTTAAAGTTTGTGATAAAATTTATCTAATCTCGATTTGATTTGTTGACTCAAGTTAATTTTAGTTTTTGAGATATTTTTTATTTTTTTTTGTCATTAATAGGTTTATCATGATTTCTAAGGTATTTGAGTCAAAAACAAGTTCAAAATGGGTTTATGGATTTATTTAAATTAATGCCTTTTATATTTTTTCTCTAAATTTATTTTTATTTTTATTTAGATTAATACCACTTTTCTCTTTTATTTTATTTAGAGAGTCTCTTTTCAATTATAGCTGTTTTTATGCATTTAAATTCTAAAGGGTTTTTTAAAATCCATCTATAAATTTTTTTTTTATCTTTTGTATAGATGAAGTTTATTTTTTAAATAAAAAAATATTTTTAATATGTGCGGTATTTTCCTCCTTTTTATCTTATTCAATCTATTTAATTTGTGTATATTTTTATTATTTTTTACTTGAATAAAAAAATTATTTTAATAAATAAATTTAACAAACATAACTAAGTAAATGTCCTAACTTGCAAGATTAATATCTTGATCTACATTTGTTTCTTAATTTTTTATTTTTTTAGTTATTATTTATGATTTTTTTTTTAATTTATTAACCCACATAGTTCTTGATTTATTTGATTTCATGTGCACATAAACTTTTTTAACTAGAAAAACATGTTGAGAAAACCTACGTATATAATTTTTTTATTTGAAAAAAATATTTTTTCGACAGCGAATCACGAGTTAAGTATATATTTAACTTAAAAACTAAAATGCATAGGGTGAATACTATGCATAGGTTTTTGGAATGGTTTTTTGGTTTTTTAGGCCATGTATAGTTTTATTATAGTTCTCAAAGTATTTTGTAGGTGTTTGGGTCAAAATGGATTGAAAAACAAGTTTTTTTTATCACAAAAAACTTAAGTTGTGTTTTTCCGACTACTATAGTATTTGAAATATGGGCAAATTAGACGACACGTCGTCTGTCTCAACATTTGAATTATTGCATGATTTTTTTTTTAATTTTTGTTTAAATCAATGGTTTTTTAATATGGTTTTTTTCTCTAAATGTTTTTTATATTTATATTAATACTTATTCTTTATTTTATTTTGGTAAGAGAATATCTTTTAAAAGATGATTTTTTTTTTGTTATGCATTTAAATTTTGATGAGTTTTTCTGATTCATTTATAATTTATTTTTTTATCTTTTGTACTGATGAACTTTATAATAAAACAATATTTTCAGATGATATTTCTAATATATACAGTCTTGCATAATATTTTTTTTTCTTTTATTTTATTCAATCAATTTAATTTTTATCTCTATTTTTATTATTGTTTGCTCGAATAAAAAAATTATTTTAAGAAACAAACTTAGTAAACACAACTAGATAAATATCTCAACTTATGAGATTAAATGTTTTGGTCTATATGTGTTTCTCAATTTTTCTATCTTTATTTTTAGTTATTGTTCAAGATTTTGTTTTTCATTTATTAATATACATTATTCTTGATTTATTTGATTACTTGTATATATAAAAAATTTTATTCTAGCTTGAATGTTTTAACTGAAAAAGGTGTTCAAAAAGTCAATGTATAGAATTTTTTATTTGAAAAAGAAATATTTGACCCACGACAAAGCATAAGTTGAATATCTAGTAAAAACTAAAGGGTGTGGGGAAACTAATGTCCACCTACACCTATTGCAGTGTGAATTGCAATAATAATATACAGTGTTTTGCTTTTTCTATTTTATTTGTTTTGTTGAATTTTTGTTATATTTTTTTTTAAATTTGTTTTTGTCAATTTTATCTTTAAATATCTGTGTGATTGAGAATTTGATTTTTTAATTTTTTTTTTCTTACTTTGTATTTCTATGAGGTTAATGTGGTTTACGGGTTTGTAAAAGCAACTCAGGTTGCCCTGATTTACGGGTTTTGTGGGGTGTTTTTTAATTAAATTTAATTTTTTTATAGCTTACTTTTTTCTCGTGTAGTTAAAAAAAATTAGTATTATGAAAAAGTCATATTATTAAATTTTATAAAGTAACCAAAATTAAATAGTGTAGAGAAATCATTGCTCACCCTTATCTATTCCATTGTTGATTACAGTATTTTGCTTTTTTTATGATTTTTTTAAAATTTTGTTTTTTGTCATTTCCATCTTTAAATATGGGAGGTGGTTAAGAATCTGGTTTCATTATTTATTTATTTTTATTTTATCTTTTTATAGAATTAGTATAATTTGCAGATTTGTTATCATAATCTAGGTTGTTCTGATTTACAGGTTTGGTGGGGTTTCTTTTTTTATTGTCTACTTTTTTTCTCATTTGGTTTTTTTAAAAAAGTTCTAGAAAAAAATCATGTTATTAAACTTTATAAAGTACATGGATCTATTCAGAAGTTTGATTGGTTGACCTAATTCGTGGGTTTGACGAGTTTAACTCTTTTTTATTTCATCTTTAGATATTAGGTTAATTATGAATTTAGTTTCATAATTGGTTTCATTTTATTTTTTATGAGGTTATCGTTGTCTCAAAAAATCTCAGTATTAGATTTGTATTCGATTTTACTATTATCTATTTTGTTATCATATAATTAAATAAAAAATAATTTCAAAAGGAAAAATTACAATCTCAGTAAAGTCAATAACTCAATTTACAGGTTTGACATGCTAGCTCAAATACTTGATTTATAGGTTTGATGAGTTTACCCACTGGTAACATATGTTTTAGCTTGTCCTTTAATTATTTTTAATTATTTTTTTATTTTATTCTTCAATATTAGATTGGTTGAAAAATAACCTATATAATTTATTTTTATTTATTTTTTATAAGTTTATGATTGCCTCAAGTAAGTGTTTATTTTCATATCAGTGTTCAATTTTATGAACTTCTATTTTTATCATAAAATAAAATAAAAATAGTTTATAAAAAAATTATAAACCTGATGAATCTATGACCTGAGTTATAAAAGAATTGGGGTCAATTCAATATATCATTGTCTCAATATTTAAAAAATAATTGTCACCTTGGATTTTTTTAAAAGCTCACCATGTTTTTATTTATCATCAAGGTTATATTTGAACCTATAAAATCAATTTTATTTAATTCTGCCAGTTCTCACAAAGTTTAATTAAAAACTACAATTAGAGTGTGAGCTAAATTGTAAAGTTTTAAAATTAACACGCTTAATTAAATTTAATAAAAAATATATCTCTGTATTTATAACTAGTCAATTAACTAGTTTTTATTCTATGGGATATTGGGAGCGCATTGAAACATCCACTAGTTTTTATTCTATGGGATATTGGGAGTGCATTGAAACATCCTGATATGCTACAAATAACCTCCAAAGCTACTACAACACTTTTAGTTATACTTTAAATTCAATTTTCCTCGAGTAAAAACTAGAAATAACAGCAAATTGGATCAACATAACCATCCCAATTTCTGGATTTTGTGTTTGCTTTATTTAAATGAAAGCCTGGCTGAGGTTAGTGGTTGAAGGCAATAAGATTCGACTTGCTAACCAGCCTAACGTCCATCAGAGAAGCAAGATGGAAACAGAAATAAAAGCAGGAAAGTAGTCTCATTAACGATTCACGTCAAGCATATGCGGCATGTACTGTCCTAATGGCAATGAGCTTGTCAAACATGGGATCAAACACAGTCAACAACATAGAACAGAGATTACTAATCCAATCAGACTTTACAGCAGACATACCAAATCCTCATTGATGTTCTTCATGGAAGAAGTGCAAAAGTTTCAAATCAAAATTATCTTGATCTGAGCATCACGCGACCAGAGAATGAGACAGATCACAAACACTTTCCACGAAACTAATGGGAAAAATAATCAGGTCAAGTTTCATAAAGATGATGTCCATGCATGCTTTGAATTCACTTAAACCCTTGGTGGCGTGAGGAGGCGGTCCTTGCCAGACAGCCTCGTGCCAACCTTGAATCACAAAACGCAGTCTTCCCCTTCATCAGAGAAACAATAGCAAAGTCTGGATTCTGGAATTGCTTTACTTCAGAATTTACAAAATGCAACTAAAACAACAACAATCAAAGAATATTGCATGGTGAAGACAGAACTTTGAACATGTGAAGGCAGCAACAAGTGACTGAGCTGACAGGCATTACTATACCCCCACCCACGACGGATCACCATATCCTCAGAAAAACATTTCAATTGCAGAACATTTCTATATCACCATCAGATGTCGCAACCACGCTACCAAAAGGAAACTTGCAATCATGACTCCACCAACAAAACACTCTTGTCCGTCACATAATAAAATATCAAAGTGCACTTGAAACAAGTCTATGACACTGTTAAGTTTAGTTGTTCAAACACGGATTCACAACACATTTTCTGTCAGCTATATTTTCAGGTTTCTCTGTTGGGGTTTCAGGTCAAATAGAAAATAGTTATTTGGTTTGGTTTCTTTCCCATGAAAAGACGCACATGACTAGAGGAGAGTGACCGCAGAGGTGAAGAACCCATGAACTTCTACGTGTTTATTTACTGCTTAAATAACAAAATATTGACAAGAACAAGAAAGGCCACAAACTTTCCACCTCTCTGTTACTCAAGGAATCTAACTAAATATTGACAAGGATTTGAAACAATGATCCAGAAATAAATTATACACCTCCAATGAATCTCTATCAAAGATTATAAGAAATTACTTACAGGATTTTTCCTCCTCTACTTTCATGGATAATGCATTCTGTTGAGACATATCAATCTAGTGAATGCTCCAATGTTGAATCAGATGGGAACTTGTAAGTCGAATCCAGGGGTGTCGTATTATTTCGGCCAACTGCTACTTTGTTATCATGGTTAAGGAAAAAAAACAAAAAGAAAAGGAAACAAAAATCTGTACAAAGATCCACAGCCAAAACTCCACACACCCATTTACCAGCAGGATCTGTGCAGGTAAACCAGCTACCAGGAATTAAAAAAAAGAGAGGGTATAAGACCTGGAAAGTCACTAACCAAAACTGCCAGATTGATGAAAGGTTAATGCGGCAGGGGCAAACATAAAAAAACCTTTCTTCCCTCTAAATGCCACAGCACTCTTGTTAGAAACCCACTGGAGAGGCTAATGACAAAAAGTCACAGCCACTGATAAAAGAAACACCAGACTGTTCCAGCAAAAACAATGTGAAGTCTATAACTGAATTCTTTGGATTCAGAGGATGCAGACTGCAAGCTGAAGGGGCTGGCAAATTCGTATCATCTCATATGTGGTTTTTTCATTCTACCCATCAACATTTAAGTCCTCAGAAGAAGCTTTTATAGCCTCAGCATTCATTAGAGCAACCACAGCCTTGTGAATTGCAAGATCTGCTCTGTACAGCAGTCTTTGTGCCCTTTCTCTCTTGATATTAGCCATACTGAGTGCATGCTTAGCTGCACCAGAAGCATCACGCAACCTGAATTCATCAAGATCTGAACCATTTAACTGTTCAAGGCCATGTCTCGCATTAAAATCTATCTGGTGATGCTGCTGACTAGGCCAGTCAGAAAAACTTGCATTCCACCGATGAAATCCATTACCCTGATCCATCATTCTCTGGTTATATAAAGAAGCCATCTGAATACTATAGGGAGACACACAGGTCCCAAGTTTCTTTGACTTGGTCCTGCGAAGTTTCTGGAGATGATTTCTATCATACCTATCACCAGTCATTGAGAAATATCCAGGGGCACAAGCATCTTGTGGTGAGAAGAACCTGGGTGATATCCGAGGCAATGGGGAGTCATTAAAAGATTCATCGTTATGTACTGGATATATAGTCTTTTCATCTCCAGAAGCAAAGCCATTTATTCTTCTTCCTAGGAAAACAAATATATTATGATTAAGGTGAAAGTTGAGAAGCACATTAAGGAATGGAAATGGAGAAAAAAGAAAAGCTTAGTCAAAATATCAATGGGTAAAAAAAGTTACCACATGGATGAAAACCATCATGATCTCCTGCAAACGCATTGCTTTTTCCAGCAACTGAAAATTTCCTATGTGACCTTTGTTTTGATCCCTTGTTAGGCACTTCCAAACCCCGAGGATTCAAACAGAAAGCATACATGGGTGGCTTGTCTTCGAGTGCAACCTTCCCATGGCATCCACTGGGGAGGCTTGTGTTGCTTCTTTCCATTGCTTGCTCCCACTCCCTCAATTGCTGCTGATACCTTTCCCAGAGCGGTGGCTGCATAAAAAGCATAGTTGCACGTCTTGTTAGGCCAAAAAATATGTTTAACAGAAAACATACCAGCATATAAAAGGCGCATACAAGAACACAGCATATTAAAAGATAAACCAAGTTTAACAAAGTTACATGCTGGACCATAAGATTAGAGAACTGCCTGGTCAAATTGAAGTAAAATGACACATTTTTTATTTCATTAATACAGATGTGAATAGTGGTCATGCAACAGTTGGTCATTGAATAATTCAACAGAAGACTAAACTCTCAGTCCATTATTACAGATGTGAAGAGTGGAAACAATAGTTTCCTCTCTGTGCACGTTACAGTTTATCTTTCCCTTTGAAACTCTCTCCGGGCTCATTTATCCCAGCTTTTTTTTTTTTTTTAACAAGACCCTATATCATAGGTATATACGCTGCTTCATCAATATTTAGCTCCTGTCCTAAGCTAATATGCAACTTGACTGGGATTGTTTAATCAAGACAAATGAGCTGAGATTTTTTACTAGAACATAAATCACAGGTCCATATGCTGCTTCATCAATATTTAGTTCCTGATTTAAGCTAACATGTAAATTGACTAGGATTATTTATCAAGAAACTTGTCCTTCATCTAATTCTTACTTATCTGTTTCAATGAGTGCTTGAACAACCAAACTATAGCTCCAAAGGCTCCTTTAGACCAAACTTGTCTTTTTTCCTCCCTTTTAAATTCTTACAAGCACGACTTTTCTTCATATCTTGGATTTATATATATAATGCTTTGTTGTTAACAACCTCAAGATCATGATTATTTCATCAGAACCAAATACTTAACCTTCTACCAAGAAAACAGGCAAATCTTCATAACCTTATGATGAACCAAAAATTATGTCATCCATAGCTCAAACACAAAAAAAAAAAAAAACAATGGAAAATAACCAGCAATTTCAGAAGGTACCTGGAGATGACGGATCAGAGGCATTCTCTTCCTCTGCCTCTTGTGATGCCAATATTCATGGATGATTTTGATGGCTCCTGTGGGCCCAAGTCCAGCCATAAGTTTCATTATTTCATCAGATGTAAACTGGTCCCGCTGTTGAGAATATGCAGCCTTCTCAAACATGTCCATCGCCTTCTCAAACATTTCTTCTGAAATATGCCGTGAACTACTGTTGACTTCTGAAGAACTTCGATTTTCCAGCATCCACTTCTCATCATCACTATCCATATCATATAGCACCCTTGATGGATTCAAAGCCAACTCAACATCTGTTTCAAGCTGCTGAAAGTACTTAAAACCCCGGAAAAATGGTGCTTCTATTCCATTATCATCATTTTCCTCTATCAGGCGGACCCCAGGAATAGGGATGTTTTTAACTGATGCAGCTCGCATGTTCCGATTGTAGCATTCTTCATGCATCTCTTTAAAAAGAACCCACTGGCTCCTATCAGGAAATTCCAATGTCCATTCTTTTCCTCCTTTCCACATCATGGCATGTGTAAACCGATTTGTTGACCCAGTTTGCAGAAACTGATGTGCCTTGTATGAATACTTTGTAGTTCCAGAAAGCTTAACACCAAGCCTCCACTCATTATGATCAAAAAGCTCTAGTACAACCTGCACCCCACATTCTCTCCATCCTTTGTCACCATTTGTAATCAACACATTTGCATCACAAGACAACAACTCTAAGTTTCTTTCAGAACCCCTGGAAATGTCTGAAGTCCTCTTCTCAGTGGCTGTCCTGATTCGTTTATGTGGAAACCCTTTCTGCTGTTGTCCTCTATTCCTCGGGCTGTAATCAAAACCTCCTAAAGGCAATGCATAAGAAACATGTGTCCGTCGCTTCTTAGGTCCATTACCAAAATTGTTTTGAAGAAAGCCAGTTCTTCCATCAGACCACCCAAAAGATGCAGAACTACTTCTATTTCGATACCAGGTACTTCTGCGAGCAGTAGGGTTTGGGCTGGGAATAATGCCACCATTCATATTCCATGACAGATCAGAGGACCGTTGAACACTGTGTACTTCCTTATTAACATGCTGGTTCAAATTAACTGATGGAATTTCAACCGTAATACCCTTCAGAAGAGTATGAGAACCAGTATCAGCCTCATCAACTGTTTGTGACTCTGGTTTAGCATGAGATATGCATCCATCAAAGTCAGCACCCATCAACAAAGCTTTAAAATCATTACCAGAAGTACCATCTAAATATTCTTTGGAGCAGTCCTCTACACTAGAACAGCTGTCAGCCAGCAAACCACTGGATTTTTCTGGATGCTCTATTGAATCGTGATCCAGAAAGTTAATATGCATCATACTATGTTCCATAAGCATCTTCAGATGCAAACCCAAAAAGAAAGTAGGAGCAGCAGTAAAAGAAACCGCAAATGAAGGTAAATATCTGTGATTTTTATCCGACTTAGAAGAAGACAGATTAGCATTAACACAAGTAGATTCTCTGGAGAACCCCACACGACCGATGCTCTGTCTAGACCTCCTATGCGAGACCTGTTTAACAGTAAATATCATGGCAGTTAATAACAATCCTTGAAACAAAAAAAAAAACACCCCATGCAGCCCTTCAGAATTGCAGTGCAAAGGATTGCACAGCTGTCCCAAACAAGGGTAACTATGCTGCAGCTATTGGTCTCGTCAGATTAATGATTAAAATAATCAAAACAAAAATGAACAAAAAATAATGTAACAGGCCAAAAAAGGCCAAACGATGTGTACATTAAGAAATGGAAAAAAATCAGGCACATATGTAGAGAAAAATAGAAAACACAGAGAGACCAACATCACGAAAAGGAATTTGGAAAAATCTGGAAGCAAAAGTAAAAGCTGCAAGTCATCTTCAGAAGCATATTTAACTATATAAGGTTAAAGTACCTTATTTAAGGTGGCATCACTGCAGGCCCAAGGACTAAGGAGCTGATTCATTCCACATTGCAAGGCCTTCACGTTATCATAAGTGCATTCAGACAGAGGTAATTGCCTAGAAAGCAAGCAATGCTTTTTGAGCTTATGGTCCAGGTATATCCACTTTGAATTCTCTACTTCAGAGAAGTTGTAGAATGCAAAGGCAAACTGCTTTCTGAAATCTTGAATGCAAGAGAATTTGAACCTGACTGAAGTTATTGGCAACTGGAAGTCAGCACATTTCCCCTGCTGCTCAATAGGTTGATAAAATATTGCCAAGACCAGGAAAACAAAAGCTACAGCCTCTTTCAAGCAACCTTCAAACAGGAGAAACCTCAATCCAACCCCATTATCGACAAAAAGCATCTCCAAATGAATCCTTGGCCATGTAGTCATAAGCATACCATACTGAAGCAGTGCCATAGCATGGATCAACCAAACAATTTCTGAGCCAAATGAGTAGTGAAGTGGGACAGAAGGCAATAGGAAGCTTAACTTGAACCTGAACCATCTTGGTTCTATGGCAGAAATATTTAATCTCAACAACCCTGCTTTATTAGTTGACCATAAAGGATCAAAAGCATCCAACCTATCCAAATCCTCATCAGGATTCAATCTTCCAAGAGAAGTATTGTGCCCTTCCAAAGGCCCAGAATTAACAGTATGACACACCAGAGATCTAACAGATTCTGCTACACTAGCAGAAATATGAACACCCTTGGATTCATGACACAACACATTGCTTGTCTCACGGAACCGCTTCCTGTAATAAACAATAGGGAGCTTACTATCTTTGGGGTAAACAGGCTTCTCCATCACAGGCAAACCACTCCTTCCATCAGTGGCGACACTCTCTGATGAAGCAGAATTACTACATAACTTGCCTCTATCCCTGTTTAGGGAAGACAGTGGTGTCCTAGTAGAAGATAGATAAGAAGTTTTCCGTTTCTTCAAGGCACAAAGAGGAGAGGATTTGACCCTACGAGTGGATCGAGCCAACCATGAGATGATAGGCTCTGAGTCCATATAAGCCCCTTCATAGCTATCATCCTCTGTCATCAGGTCCCTTTTTTCTTTTCTAGACATCAGTTTTTCCTTTCCCCCATTGGAGCGCTTGTTTCTTGTCACTGACCTTTTCCTTCGAGTCTTAGCTGGAGCTTCACAAGGGAGCAGCAAGAGTTTAAATCTTTCATTTTGGAGATCAATCCATTCCTCATCCCGGTCATCATATTTTACATGATGAAGCTTCCTATCTTTGTCATAGTCACCAACAAGACCATGATACCAACTCTGGTCCAAAGGCCAAAAGACCTTTATTCTCCGGTTGAGAACCCAATGTGCATCCAAGTCCCCAGAGAAAATTTCATAATAATGGCGCCGTTTCCTCATGTTACCCTTCTCTTTGTTCTGTTTCCTAGGTCGTAATACTCTACCATCAGTATCAACAGATGAAGATTCAGATCCAGAGACATAGCTAGACTCACGAGCAACAAATTCTTGGAAACCATCTTTAGATGGTGAAGTTGAGGCTTTGCTATTTGAAGAAAAACCCGTGCAGCTTGGATCAAATCGTGATGATAGCATCATTGCTGCATTCTCTTCAAGATTCTCCTCATCCTCATCGTGCAAAACATCACTGATCTTTATAGAAGCATCAACTGATGGGTCAGCCTCCTTGCTTCTTTTCTTGTTAGACACCATATCCTTTTTTTTCCTACTCCGCTTCCTCAGTGACTTTTCCAGAGATGAATCCCCATTATTAACAACCAAAGGGCCATTTTCAGACTTCTTCAACAATGAATCTCTTTTTGTAACAACTGAATGACCATCATGCCCGTCTTCTTCCTTCAAATGCCTACTTGCATCCAATTCACCATTTCTATTTTCTTTCAAATCATCGGAACTTTTCTTCTGTTTAGCCTTTGAATGCTCAACCTGCTTACCTTTACCTTCACCGGTTAACTTGCTAGCCTGATCCACATCACCCACTACACTAACCAATATCACCACTGCCTTCGACTCCTGACTGCCATTCTCAACCACTTTACCCTCATCTTCACCAGTTAACTTTTCAGCCTGGTCAGCATTGCCCACTTCCCTGCCAAACCCCCTTGCCAGCTTGCCCCCTTCACTACCATTGTCCACCTTCCTTCGCCCCACAAAACCCCGTTTTCGCCTAGGAATTTTAACAGCCCCATCTTCCAACGGTAACGAAGCACCACTAAACCCATTACTAGCTGCCAGTCTCTGAATCAACCCAGTCCTCGGGTCCTTCAAACCTGAACTCAAACTCCCATTATACACTTCCTTTAAACTCTTACTATAGCTACTGTTAACATTCTTAAAACTACTAATGCAAACCTCCTTTCTACTCTTCTTGTTTTTATGTCCCTTCTCATCATCACCTAGACCACCACCCTTCCGCTTCAAATTATTACTATTTTGATACCATTTTGAATTTTTAGTTTCATAGAGACTCCTGAGATCCAAGGATCTCGACTTCTTAGGAATTCCCACTCCATGAGACTTTCCTACTCTATTTTCCATCAATCCAAACACCAAAAACCAAAACCCCTTATTTTCAAATCCCAATCATGCATTTTCAGATCTGTAAAAAAACAAAAACCACAACAAATGACCAAAATTACCCTCTAAATTACCAAAATTCAAACATTAGCACACCAAACAAAACAATCAAGGCCTTATTATCACCAACTAACCCAGAAATGACCAAATAACATCCAAAGGGACAAAATCAAAAACGTACCTGGATTGAAATACCGCGAGAATTCGATTTCTCGAGAGAAATACGAAGATCACGTGCATGGAACACGGATTAGTATGTGAATCTATGAATTTCGAATTAAAACCCTAACCGAATTGTTGAATTTAGTCGCTAATTTTTCGATAATTTGAGGGATTTGTTTTTTGGTTAACGTGGGAAACAGAGAGGAGCTAGGGTTTCTTTTGGTTTCACGAGAAGAGGGGTTTTGATTCGAAAACAAAAGGGAAAATAAAATTAAAATAGTTACAAGAATAGAAAATATTTCCAGTCCTTTCGATTATGCTACGTGGAATAATTCAAAACGTCAGATAACTAAACCCTCAATTATTTATCATCCGTACGATTAATAAATAAAATTGGTGGTGACGATGATCTGTTTGACACGTGGAGAGGCATGATTTTAAATTGGTGAGAGAGGAGCGGTAGTTAAGCGGCTCGGTTTTTGCTAGATTTGTATGTATATTTTCGCAAGACAAAACTAATAGCTTTAATTTACTATTCCTTTTATTTGTTTGTTAACTATTCTTCGTGTCTTTTATATAAGCTTATTTATTTTTGTATTTAAAAAATATTTAAAGAAATAAATTTTTTTCATTTTTTATTTAATTAAAAAAAAAAAATAAATTTTTTTCATTTTTTATTTAATTTAAAAAAAAATATATGTTAATATGAAAAATAAATTTAAAAAAAATATTATATAAATATATTATTATATCAAACACACTTTAAAAAATAGTCCTTGGCACAATATAAACTCAAAATATCGAGGACGCCATCAGGATTTTTTTATTTATGAGGCGCCATTAGGGAAACTAGTGAGCTAACGCGAAGGAGAAAACAGGTGGATGTGTACTCGCTTGATTGGAGTGAAGCGTGGATTTGATTGAGGAAGAGCTTGAAGCCTTGCTTGGATAGAAGAGACAGGAAGAGCCAGATACGTGGATTGTGCATTCTGGGAAAATAAGTGGGATACATTTAGAAATAAAGGTTGTTAGTTCTGTTGCAGTTCAGGTTTTGTTTTTATAATTAAAATGTTTTGGTTCAGAGTATTTCATCCGTATTTAAAATTTAAATTAATAATTGTATAATTTTAAATTAATTTATCTTTGAATTTAAATTATATTTGTTTAATTAATATATATATATATATTAAACAAATATAATATATTTTTTTTAATTAATATAATTTAATATATGTATATATATATCAAACAAATATAATTTAAATTCAAAGATAAATTAATTTGAAATCATACAATTTAAATTTTAAACACGAGTAAAAAAATAAAAATTGAATTAATATAATTTTATCGACTTGATAAGTAAAAAAAACTTGAACAATTATTAAAAATATAGTTTAATTTAAAAATATTAAAGACAACATCTTTTAAAAAATATATATTAAGAAGACAACATATTGGATTGACATGGATCAACTTGAGTTAACTTTTTAAATGTACGACTCAAGTTATAAAATTATGATAACCTCAAAATAAATAAATAAATAAACATATAAAGCTCAATTCTCAATAAATTCATTATTGAATAATGAAATTAAGAAAATTTAATAAAAAAAGACGCAATAAAATGATCTAAGTCTACTCAGATTAACTCATAAAATCTATGACTCAGGTCATACAATTAAGATAATTTAATAGAAAATAAGTGACAAAACTTAATTTATAATTAACCAAATATTGAATACATTGAACGATGAAACTAAAAAGAAATAATTCAAATGATATTAAAAAAAAACTCATGTTATTTATGTTAACATGCAAAACTCGTAACTTTAATTATAAGATTAAAATAACCATAAAAAACAAACCACAACAAATTATAAAGTTAAGTATCTAGTAAACTAGGTGTTGGAGGGTGAAATTAGAAAGAAAAAAAGCATATATTTTTTTATTAAAAAACAAAAGAATATATTATTTGGTCGAAACAGAACGGCTAGAATGGAACTGAAATGTTACGAGTGTAATCTGGGTAGAATTTCCAAATTAAATTGAGATTTTAAATTGGATAAAATCTATTTTAATTTGTTATGTTTTTTGAACTGGAATGAGATGTAATGATAATTCTATACAAAACTAAATGGAATTGACATCATTGTTGGATATTAGAAATTTCATTTCTTGTAAATTTTTATGGGTTTATTTATTTATTTTTGCAAATTTTTAGTCATGTTTATTGCATTGTGTTTTTATGTAATAACTAGATTAATGACTCGTGTTGGGTTGCAGATCAAATCAAAATTTTGCCAATATAAAACAAGATACTCAAGTGATGGTAGTAATGCCTTTAAAAAAGCAAAAAAATCCAAGACTTTAGTCATTGATTTGGCTTTATCAAATAAATTAGATTAATTTAATAACATAATTAAAAATAGGTAATAATGATACACAAATCAAACAAGAAAATAGCAATAATCAATTAAAAAAATGAGTTGCTAATATCATACATAAGAAGAGAAAAAAGAAAAGCCCAACATAGTCTTGTTATCTTTTCATCATGAACAATGTTGTGCCGTTATAAAAAGTTCACTAAGATGATTTTAACACCGTTATAAAAGGCTGCATGATAACATTGAAAGAAATAGTATGCAATGCTATAACAATGACCTAAAACGCAAACCAAACAAAATATCATAAAATTAGCATTGCATACTTATAATCACTCAATTAATTTAATTTAATAAAAAAAATTAAAATTTATTAAATAAAAAAAATAAAGCGACTTGAGAAAATCTAGATCATTTTCAAAATCATAAAAAAATCCTATAAAAAACAAATAAAAAATAATGGTGTCCAATCTATTCAACCTATAAAAAAGAAAAGCATAAGCTTTTTTAAAAGAGAGAGAGAGAGAAAAAAAAACTAAGCAAACATGAGTAAATCTGTTAAATATAGGTTGATATTTCAAACATAGGTTAATATCCGTTAAACATAGGTTAATATCTCAAACTTATAATCTGAGTAAATCTGTTAAACATGGAGTGAAATTTAGACTCAAACTTAATGAAAAAGCTCAATTTCTAACCAATTTAATGTTAAGGGATGAAATTGAAAAAAAAATAATTTTAAAAATTTACCAAAATAAAAAAATAGCAATAAAAAAAAGGATCAAATATGATAGGAAAAAACTTGAAAAGTGATGCATTCATTAAAAAATCAATTTTAGAAATTATCTCAAACGAACATGGACCAAATTTTATAGTTGGAGAAATTAAAGGGGGATAAAATTAAAAAATAATTATAAATTATTTCAAATAAAACAAATAATAAAAAAAAAAGAACATGGACCAAACATGAAGAAAAAACAAATTAAATATCTACTTTGAAAACTTAAAGGTCACTCATGAAAGTTAACGAGAAGAGATAAAATGAAAAGAAAAAAATTCATCAGTATCAAACCAAAGATCAACAAGCTACATGTACCATGACACAACTAAAAGATTGATGTCTTCTCCCAAGTGCAGGAGTGTCGAAGTAATAAATAACCCGGCAAGACCGGGGTCGAACCACAAGGAGGTTATTTGTACAAATTATAAATAACAATAATACAACAACAATAACAATAACAATAACAACA